CTGGCTCTGGCCGTTGACACTGATACTACCCTCAATACGTTGATGAGAGTGTTGATTTGCACACAGGAGACCATTGAGTTCATGAAACAACTGTCGAGACGTGGTGAGAACTTGGCTTCTTTTCTTGAGGAATCGATTGGTCTTGGGTATGCGCAAACCAAAACGGCACATGTCAAAACGGGCTGCCATAGTATGCTGACGAATGAATGCGAAAGCATCCATCTGAATCAAGCTGGAACCTGCAGGCTGCTCGAGGTGGAAATGGCGTTCCAAACGGACCTGATACTCACAAATTCTTCGACATAAGTGGACATGTGGCATTTGCATTTCCTGCTTCTGGGAAATCAAATCAAACATGACTGAACTCTTACCCATGTTGAGACGATTCCAACCACTCCAGGGTCCGCATTCGGGTGCCATCCATATGTGCTCTGGCTGCAGCCTTTCAATCAGACCCCACAATTTTTGTCGACCAGCAAATGTGGCCAGATCCCCATCTTCTTTGGTAAAACGCATTGCCTTGTAACCAAGTCTTTGAACTGCTTCAGTAAGTGGACTATTGTTGTTGGCATAGATTTCCAAAAGGAAAATTCTGGAATTGTTACTGTTGGATTGAACATGGTTGATCAGGGAATCTTCCAAGTTGTTGATAGATTGTTCGAGTTGATGAGAAATTGGACTGTTGGTCTTATCTGTGACCTCGGTCTGAAGATCCTTTCGGGCGGCCAGAACTTCCGCATGGAACTGCTGAGCCTCAGGTGATGACATCATAGATCGCCCTTCGACATCCATAGTTGTCCGAACCGGACAAAGTCCTGTTGCTCCGGCATCAGGCTCGAATATCGAGCTAGGCTCCAGTGAAAGTATCCTGGGTCCTGGCGCATCACTGCCTCGAAGGACTTCCCCTTGTGCTTCCGTCCAAATGAAATCAGATTGCTTCCCCACTCTTCCAGTGTCAGATTTCCTGGAAGCGGCATCGTAGGCACTGGTGGAGCACCTCGATTGGTGGGCTCTGTCACAGGTGTCATCTGGACATTCTGTTGGATCATCACTTCTTCGATCTCTTCGATCTCTTCCCAGGTGGCCGCATGAGATATGACCGAAGGAGCTTTTCCTCGGCGCTGGGTCACTGCGGTCTGAGGCAGAGACATCAACATTGTTGTACTTCCGGCGGAAGCACCTGAGCTTGTTCCCATTGTTGGTCCACGAATCTTGCGCTCGGCTGGCTTCTTTTGGACCATGATCTCGTCTTTCAGATTTTCCAATGCCGTCTTTTGCATGTTGATCTGGTTCATCATTTCTTGCAATTGGCCATGAATCTGAGGATCGGTCTCGATCTCTGTTTCGGTGATCACTTCTTGTCTTTCCAACTGATGCACAAAGATCTGGAGGAGCAAGGTCAACAGGTGGATGATGGCCTCTGCAATCGTCTTGAGCATGCTTACCACAGGCGGCATGGGAGTCGCAGGTCTCTGAAGCACGATTCGAATTGGGCTGCGAGTCACTTGAGCGAAAACTTCTGTTTCGCTGGAATCTGAGGCCAGGTTTGTTTGATTTTTGAGACTGTAAAACCCCTTCAGTCCTACCCATTATGCTATTTTTATGGTTTTCATAACCTAATCTCTCCCCATTAGGCATTTCCGGAACTGATTTGACAGGAATGTCACTGGCGGTCTCTTGGAACATGGCAGCTTCATTTCGTACGCAAATGTCAATCATGTTGATGAGATACAAACCGGTTGGACTGGTCATGAGCTTGATGGGACCGTCTTGCACTTTTCGCATGAAGCATTGATCTGTTCGAGAATCCAACGAGCCATGTAGCATCTTGAAAGCTTTCTTGGAAAACAGAAAAGGAGTGGCTCCTGGAACCACTTCCACAGACAGCCAAAGTTTCTTCTGTTCTTTGTGTTTCAATGGCATCTGGATGGCATACATGCTGGTTAATGACTGGTTGTTTCCAAAACGGAACTTCACCTGGCTGTCTTGCTTGCGAAATCTGGCACTGATCTCTGCTGGAAGAGATTGTTGCAGTCTCTTCAGGGTGCGGTCTCCTATGATACAACGACTGGCTCCAGTATCTAAAATCGCATGGGTGCAAAAGGTTTCTAAGCTACTGTAGACCTGCTCGGATGCAAAAGTCTCAGAAAAACGGCAGGACCGGTTGGTCACAGGAGCTTGGTCTGATGAAGGTTCATCAGGGCATTTCCTAGGCGGCATTTGAAATCTCTTGGACTCTACCGGATCACATGCACATTGGGACTTTCCGGAAAACCTTTGAACCCTCTTGGAATTGAAACTGGACATGCGCTGGCTCAAATTGTGAATGCCACGATTCTTACACTCATGAGTCAACATGAAACATTCCGCATGACATGACTGAAACTGCAAACTGGATTCTACGGAAGGCATCACATATGCTTCATTGTCATCCTCTTCGGAAAACACCTCATCGACATCTCCAACCGTGGCGAAAACTTCCTGAGGACGTTCATCCATGACCACATTGGCAGATGCTGTCGAAGGTGGACCACCGGATTTTTCGGCACCACTGGCTAATGGGCATTCCGCTTTCCAGTGCCCGAGGGCACCGCAGCGGCGGCAGTGGCTGCGAGCAATCTTTTGAAGCAATGCATCACGGTCTTTGGATCTTTTCCCAAAACCTTTACCTTTTCCTTTTCCATATTTATTCTTTCCCTTTACAGGCCAGAATCCCCTTGATTTCTTCTTTTCAATCAACTTTGATCGTGCCTCAATGTACGTGGTCAAGGCCTCGAACATCTCTGGGGTGTCCTGCAAGAACTCCTCGAACTCGCCTTCGAAGGTGGCCACGGCCAAGGCGTCCGCATCATCCTGGGCCACTGAGGCATCAATGAACTCTTGATCAAGCTCGGGTTCTGCATCCTCAGAACTAGCATGGGTGAGATACGCTCTCTCATAGGTTCCAGAGTCATGTGAGGAAGCTGCATCGTGAGATTCAGAAGTGTCCAGAAAATTTGCATCATACACTTTGGTTCGCTGACTGACTCTTCCGGTCTGAAACTCATTGAAAAAGCGGCTGCCCAGCAAACGAAAGGATTTCACCACTGGCTTGTATTGAAGTTCACCCTCATGTTCAAGGAGAATTCTCTTTTTATCTTCTGCACTGAGAGTTGACTGCCGAAGCAGGACATATGCTTGCACCTCTTCCAATGTCGTGTTTCGTGACAAAAGTTCAGTGAAGTTGGCTTCCATACGGGCCAGGAAAGAATCATGGCTTTCATCATTTCTCTGAGTTGTTCCATACAGAGACTTCTCAAAGTATTCATAACGTTCTTCCAATTCAGTTGAACCCCACGACCCTCCAATGGCTTCTACCAAAGCGGCCACACCATCTGTTGTTTTCACCTTCAACTTGGCCGGGGGAATCTTTGCAATCTTCTTGAACGCCGTTCCTTCTATGAGAAGCGCTGCGCGAGGAGCTAACTGATCCAAGTGTTCCACAGGCCACAGCGACGCTAAAAACTGAAGCTTCTGGGAATACTCTTGGACATTTGTCACACCAGGAACAAATTTGGGAATCTGACTCCAAGGTAATTGAACTGGGCTCGGTGTCGGCTCATCGTCCGGCACAGGCGGAAGGCTACCATCACCACTAGCTGTTGGAGGCATGGTGCCACAGTCAAAACTGAAAGGATTTCCGACCTCCCTGGATCGTCCACTCTTACAGCTAAAGCAAAGTAGCTGGAGCTCGAGGCTCCGCTACCAGTGTGAATGACACAGCTGGTAGCGGAGGAATTCACCAAAACTGAATAAGCTGACCCTGTCAGTTGCAAATGAATCCAAATAGAAATGGCCCTGCCAAATGAATGAAAATGGTGGATGCCCTGCACCACCCAAACACGCAGCTGCCCCTTTTGGCACTCAAGACTCCATGGCCGTCCGACGACCGATGATCCACAGCCCTACCCTCCTCAAGTTGCCTGAACCGTAAATGGTATCCGGCATTGCAAATGGTCAAGTCACCACATGCTGACAGGAGTTGGGAACATCACATCAAGGTATAGTTGTAGATGAAATCACAATATATATATATATATTGTATATATATATGTATTATATATATATAGGATAAAAATATATTATATGTAGATATGTATATATTGTATATACATATGTATATAGATATTGGATATATGTATATATCGATATACATATGTTTTTTTTTCTATATATTGTATATATTATATAATTATGATACAGTATATATGGTTTATATATGTTATATGTATATAGGTACATATGGTAATATATGTATATAGTATATATGTATATGCTATATATGTTCTATATGTAATATGATAATGTATATATGTATTATAGTATATATGTATATATGTATAAATGTACATATGTTACATATGTATATATGTATATCTATGGTGATAGATGTATATATATATGTATATATATGTATATAGTATGTATGTATCTGTATATACTAGATATGTATATATATATATGTATTTAATATGCATATATTATATATATACGTATATATATATATGTATATAGATGTATATGTATATGTATATGTGTATGTATATATGTATATATGTATATATGTATATATGTATATATGTATATATGTATATATGTATATATGTATATATGTATATATGTATATATGTATATATGTATATATATATGTATATATTTATATTTAAATATTCGCATATGATGAGGGCATCTGCTGTGGCAACGCCTCCTGGTAGGTTCTTTTAGATTGTCATATTTCGCAACAAAAACCGGCCCTCGTGTCCTTCATGCCAAATGCCTCAGATCTTGGATTCCTGATTCATGAACGTAAATCGGCATTTCTCAAGCTTCAATTTCCATTTTGTTCATGTAATCCCAGAATTGGACAGAGGGAAAACTAGTAGGAATACCCTGCTTTTTCGGATAAGATCATGGGTTTCCCATTGAAAACAACCATGAAAAACACCCCAATGGTCCAAGAGGCAACAGCGCCAGATGCAGTTTTGCGCTGAAGTGCTGCATCCGCGCGCTTGAGTTCTACGACGAGTTCTTTGGTATTCCGTATCCGTTGCCAAAGATGGACAGAAACGGCAAAAATCGAAGTTCAAAGTGGGATATGGGATATCATGGGAAGTGGGATATAGTAAGAATGGATTTTATAAACAATAATCTTATGACAAAGTGGAATATGGCTATGGATCAAACCTATGAACACATACCACATTTTGAAGGATTAGACATCCATGTGCCAACTATTTGGGGTGAACAGAAGGGTGCCAGGGTTACGAAAATAGCGGTATAATCAGGATATAGTGGGATTTAAGGGATACAATGAGAATGGAATTTATCAACAATAATATCTAACGGATTCCAATGGATTTACAAACAATAATCTTATGATTGCAAGAGTTTGACTTTTTTGTTCCAACCGTAGCGCCACCAGCGTGCACGTGGGGATTTTCACCTTTGAGTCATGGGGGTACCTTTGACCATCCACTCTATTGGGATCCAATTCGGATATAGTTGGGATATAATGGGGATACAATGGGGATATCATCTGGAAGATAGTGGGGATTGAATGGGATATATATATAAATACATATAATTACCCTCTGGTAAACAAACATAGCTACTGAAAATTGCCATTAATAGTGAGTTTTCCCAAAAAAATGTGATTTTAGTGATTTTCCATAGTTTCTTGTATGTTTACCAGAGGGTATATATATATATATATATCCAACAATACGTAATATAGGATTATGGTGGTATCACCGTGTCCACCATCACCATTTGGATTAGGGGCTCGGATACCCTCGGGGATGCTGCTTGGCCAACAATACGATATGGGGTTTGTCTGAAAATGGAGAACTACCCCCCACTTATGGACATTTCTAGAGGGAATATGGTTCCCAGTTTTCAGAACTCAAATTCTAATTGGAAAGTAGATCGGCTGCAAGAGTAAAATATCAAACGTATGATGTTGGTATGGGTTGTTTGTTTCAAAATGACACCCATTCTATCCAAAAGGTTTGGAACATAATCATCCCCGTTACTTAGTGGCCATAAATTGGGTGCCGATCGACATTTTGACACAAACCTACATAAATATAGATGTTTACTTATAATATATATATATAACTGTATATATATATATTCACATAAACATGATCATAACCCCTCAAAAATCTTGTTTTTTTGGCAATCTCGGAGAGGACATGATTGCAATCCCGGATTTCTCTGCTGGCGCCATGGAAAACTGGTGACCTATCGGGAGGTCGCGCTCCTTTGCGATGAAAGCACCGTGTCTGCCACACAAAAGCACCGGATTTGTACGGTGCCTGGTTGGCGATTTCTCATGGAATAAACCGGAAAAGTGGGAATTAAGCAGCAAACATGGATGATGTAATTATGATACCATGATTTATCAAGGAAAAATACGGATCAGCAGCAAAGACAGATGATTTACTGTATCAGCCCCAAAAATGGGAATATCACCAGAAAAGATGTAGCCCAGCAGCCCGCACTCAAAAATGGGTACAACCAATAACTTTTGATTTGTTGATGATTTTTTTCATGCTTTACATTCTCTTTCCCAACTGAAACGGTATGATTATCTGCCCAGTCACTTTCCTGTTTTGTCATAGGGGTGGCTAGTAACCATGTTACCATCTGGCAATTTAATGTAGCTATGGAAAATGGCCCATTTGTAGATCATTTACCTATAAAAACGTGTTATGTTCTATAGCTATGGCATAAATTACCGGAGGGTATATCTGATATTGTCCCATTCTATCCCCATTTTGCAGCCCATTTTCGTTGCTTCTAAAGTTCTATCCCCAAATTTGGTGATTCCAAATCTGGGTGATTTTTTTTTCCCCCGGCATGTTCCAAGCGTTTTTTTTGTCAAAGGTCATTGCGCATGAACTGGCGCATCAGTGGTTTGGCAACTTGGTGACGATGGAGTGGTGGGATGACCTTTGGCTGAACGAGGGCTTCGCCAATTGGATGCAGACCTTTTGCTCGGAGCCTTGGGAGAATGTAGGTGGAACGGTGACCCGGATGGGGACCGAACTAAAAAGGCCTGGTGAAAAAAAACGTGGTTTTGATGGTGGTGAATATAGGTCAATAGTGGTTAATAGTGTGTAAATGGTGATTTTTTCGGGATTTGATGATGTTTACCCTCATAATTATGGGATTTTATGGGATTAACCGTAACCATAGATATTTATAGATGGGAAAATTCTATCCATAGATAGTTATAGATATTTATCTATAGACATTTATAGATTATAGGGGATCAACCATCCATAGATACCCTCTGGTAAAGGTTTGCATAACGAACTGGAAAGATCCGCCATGCTATGAATGGGTAAATCAAGGAACTAAATGACCATGTTCAATAGCAAACTGTTTGTTTACCAGAGGGTAAATTAACAGTTCGACCCTGTCAGGGCTTGGAAGATTGGTTTCCACTAAGAATTGGTGGTATTTTCAGGGTCCAACTGTGAATAGCCTCCAGAGGCTAGGAGAGACGCTTCTCCCAACCGTGGCGAACATATCCACGAAGTAAAAAAAAAAGGATCCACGAAGGACATATGGATTGGCTGGTGTGATTTTTGAGATGATCATTTCATGGATTTTCCCATGGGTGAATCTTCTCCAAGGATCGCTTGTTTCCGCAGTGGCACATCTGGGAGTCCTACGTTGGGATGGAACAGCAGAGAGCTTTGCAACTTTGCAAAGAATTATATAAAACGTTGAGAGGAACAAAAATGGTAAAGCAGATCGAACTGTTGTGCTACACACAGGTGTAACCACTCTTGAAATCCTTTGAGACCTCAAAACATGAATGTTCAATCAACTTCAATCAAGATTTTTTCGGCATTTCACGTTTGTTGCATCGCGTTGCATCGCGAGCGCAAGGCAGTTGGATGCCTTGAGAAGTTCCCATCCCATTCAAGTGCCAATCAAAAAGGCCGAGGAGGTGGAAGAGGTCTTCGACGCTATCTCTTACTGCAAGGGTGGCAGTGTGGTGCGGATGATCTATCGGGTCCTGGGGGAGAAGCACTTCCAGGAAGGTTTGCAGTTGTACTTCTCGCGACACAAATACAGCAACACCCGAACCATCGACCTTTGGAATGCCTGGAAGGAAGTGTCTGGAAAGCCCATCGACAAGATGATGAGTTCATGGACTGAACAGATGGGTTTCCCAGTGCTCGAAGTCCTGAATGATCCGTTTTCAACGGGTCAAGTGGAGTTGAAACAGAGTTGGTTTCTGGCCGATGGATCCAAGGAAACAGGTGATGACGCAAAGGTGTGGTTCTGCCCCGTGATTGTGGCCACGGACAAAGGTGAGGCTCCAGTCTCGTTCTTGGAGCAAAAGACTGGGAAAGTGGATTGTGCAAATTTGGCAGGAGCTTCCTTCATGAAAGTGAACTTTGGACAGCATGTGCCTGTGCGAGTACTTTACCCTGAGCCAGTTTTCAAGCGATTGGTGCAGAATCTCAAGGCCATTCCAGCTGAGGATCGAATTGGACTTCTGTCCGATACCTTTGCCACTTGTAAGGCAGGCGGTGCAGATCCAGGATTTATCGTGGATCTTCTGTCTGGCTTCAAAGAGGAGTTAAATCACAACGTGTGGTCCGAGCTTTCGGCTTGTTTGGGCGGACTGGAGAAGATCATTCTTCAAGGTTTGGACGATGATACCGGCGCAGCCTTCCAGGACCACTTGGATTTTTTCCAGAGATTTCTTGGATGCCAAGGAGCATGCTGCAGTAATCCATAGCAAAAAAGAACAACCCTCAGCAAATGGTCATCTTATAATGTTTGTAGCATTTTTGGCTCGAGATACGACGTCGGCTTTTGGCGGGCTCTCATTTTCAAAGTATGATGCAGCCACAAGAAACTGCTCTGCTCTCCCCAGAGGTTCCTGAAACCTCTGGGCGTCGGCGGATGGCTGTGGCGTCAGTTGCAGCAGCTATTGGACTGGTCGCCTGTGTCGCCCTCCTGGGCTCACGGGGGGTGGCTGGTCGCGATGGTAGCGTTGGGGACTTGGTGCAGCTGGAGCAGATTTCCAGCTACGGACAGTCCATCCAGGCAGTGCAGGCTCCAATTGACAAGACCTTGCAAGCCTTGTCTCCCAAGGAGAACCTCCATGATAACAACCCATGTGCTGATGATGAGGAACTCTTTGAAGGTTTGTGCTATGCCAAATGTTCCATCCTATCGGCTGGAATGAAGCCTGTGAGATGTGCTGCTCACATTTGTGAGCCATTGGATAGCAATGGAGAGCACAAGTGTCAGCTGAGCGAGACGGCGATCACGTCCATTTTGAGCTCCCCGTCGCTGATGCCATGCCACGGCTATGACATTGCGGGGACTCGGGAGGGCAGGAAGCGCTGCCCACACAGCCCTGGCGCGTGTCTGAAGGATGAGGAGTTGTACCTTGGGATTCCTGGCTGTGCTCCGATTGCGGAGGTCCGATGACGGTGAATTCTTGTGAAAAAACCCATGGGGAAATGATGCATGGGGAAATCTACGATAGAAATATCTGCCATCTGGAAATCAAAATATGGCTATGGAAGAGAATCCCCCATTTCGTTCGATGATATTTTACCATGAAACGTATTAACATGTCCATTTACATGGGTTTTCCAAGCCAGCTGTGTTTGATGACACCGGAGGGTAACACGGTTTTCGAAGAGGCAGCCCCTGGATGACTCTTCCTCTAAGGACCTGCTTCAAGAAGTGCGCGGTGTTGACCAATGGAGAATTTCCGCATCGCAAAGCCTTCGCCACGTGCTGCAAGGCCCCCAGCCTCTTCCAGTGCTTGATGCCTGGACAGGCAAAGACGGACCGAGCGTATGCTGAGGGCGGTGGCTTTGGAGATCATGATCCGGATACTCCTGCCAAGGCCCATGCACCACTGCAAAGCCTCACTGAATCCAGGTGAGGTCGGCGATTGCGCCACTTTTTTTCGGGCACCGAGGCATCGAGGGCTCAATCCATCGGAGTTTGACCCCCTTTTGGATGCCCGCCAACTGCCAAGGTGCAGCTTGGCATTGCCGAAAGTAACACTAGCCGTGCACGCCGTACAGAGTGCAGACCAATATCTAATGACAGCTTGCATCAAAACATGTGCGAAGCCGCGCTCAAGCATAAGCTTTATCAGCTTTGGCTTGTTTCACTTCGACCAAATGAATTATACATGAATTATTTGGCTTGTGTTTGTGTGCGTATTCCAAGTCAAGTCTGACTTGTTTTTTGATTATTCCCATGATAATCCACATTACAGTATGAAATCCCCATTCTGCCAGGACTTCTGCAGTAAGCTCGTGCTCCCAGCCTTCAAATATATCGGCTGGGATCAGCTGCCATCAGATGATGACAACGCAAAGGGCTTGCGCAGCACCGTGCTCTCTGCTGTGGCAAAGTATTGCTACAAGGACCATGGCTGGCGCGAAGACTGGTGCTTCACCTCGCTTAATGGGATAAGAATGGAAGTCCAACCAACATGGGGATATTTGGATCAAAAAACTGGGGGATAAGATGGTCGAAAATCGATGCTGCATCAAAGCTACTCCCCACAGCGGATTCAGGACCCCAGTATCTCAGCGGAAGCTGTGAAGAGATGCAAGGCCTTTGTTGCAGATCCCAACAATGTGGCATCGCTCAACGCGGACATCCGCCTAGCAGTCTTTGATGTGACTGTGAAAAGTGAGGGCGATGCCATGTTCGACGAGCTGATCAAAGCTCATGACGCTTTGCGCAAGATCCAGAAAAATGGTTCCCAAAAGACGGGAGTCGGTAAACTCATCGAATACAGTGGCAAAAGAACAAGCCAAACTATATCTTTCTGGGGGGTTTGTATAATGAGTTTGTTTAATGTCATCTTTTCCCAAACAATATATTCCAGTTTTCACTGAAGTTACACCGTTCCGTGCCGAGATTCCGGCTCTTCAGGACATGGTGAAGGATGGAGCGGCCAAGATTCATATCTATGGAGCCTTGGGCAAGGCGCAATCGGCCACTTTGAGGAACCGAGCCTTGGAGTTCAACCTCAGCGGCTCCGTCAGATCACAGGAGGGGGAAAAAGATGGGACACGAATGGTACAGGAATGGTACGGATGGGACTTTGCTTGGGAATGCCAATGGAGATTGGATTCTAAGCTTTGGGTTGAAGTTGCATGCATGGCACTTTTCATGCTTGAGAAAAGGAGTTATTTCGAACTTTTCAAAGGCCACACATTGACACAACTTGGGTTGTGGGTGATCATTTTCCACATTGAGAAATGGATGCAAATTAACCCAACCCCATCATGTTATCTCTTCATGTTTAAGGCTTTAATATCTACGTATTACCCACATATTCATCCTGATTCTGGCCAAGCCCTGTCGGTCGGCGCCAGGATCTGATCTACATCCCCATGGCCATGGCTTCGTCCGGAAAGGATGGGGCCGAGGCGGTCTTCGACTGGATGCAAGCCGAGTACGAGCGCATCTATGAAATGACGCTGGGTGGGACAGGGACATGGTGGGACAGGGACACGAAACCGACGCTTGTGTTTTTTGGAGGTGTGGCACTGGCTTGGGGTTTATGGTGGATGTGATTTATGAGAACGATAGTTATTGGATGGATTTCATCGGATAATTTCTGATGCTTGATATAACATGATACAACTAGAGTTAGATGGATCTCTATTTTATCAATAACTGGAGCATGGATGCGGCTGAAGTCTTGAGAGCCATTTTTACATGTGGAGATGATGGATCAACTGATAGGTGTTACCCACCAATGGCGATATTTTCAGGGGCTCAGATGGGGAAGTTGGTTGATAGTCATCTAGGCTAAAGGGGATTTGTTTCGTGGGGCGGCCCACTTGTAGCAACGGGATGGATGTGCTGATCAAAAAAATCAAACATCGGCAGCATCAGGCTTTATTATTGAGTACATGTGTATCTTGGGATGATGTAAAAGGATCCCCAAATGGTTGGTTATTGGGAGGGTTTATTATTGGCTTTGACACAACATAGAGACTTGTGATGCGTCCCAA